TCTTTTTGTAGCACTAGGGATTGAACCCAGCACCTCACACATGCTAGCCAAGAGCTGTACCACTGAGCCACACCCCCTGTCCCTTACAAGCACACATTTTCATGAATATCTTCATAGTTTTCACCAAATTTACTCCAACAGGTAAATAAATGTGTGTAACTGTCAGAGTTTTGACAGAAGATTTGTTATAAATCTTCGGTTGTTGCTCAGAATTTCATTAGGCAGGTCAGACTTGAACTCAGTCTTGGAAAATGGAGTTCAGAGAGTAGCTGGGTGGGAGGCAGGCCTTAAGGGAATTCCCAAGAGGAATTGTGGGAAGATCCTTGTATTTAGATCTGATAGACTTTCTTCTCTCAAATTTGGACAGGAAAAATTCTGTGAGACAGTGGCGATCTCTACTTCCCAGTGTTCTGTAAAAGACCATGAGCTCACAGGGCACTGGTGGTTCATGCCTATAATCCTAGCTACTTAGGAGGCTGAGATCTGAGGATCATGGTTCAAGGTTAGCCCAGGCAGGAAACTCCGTGAGACTCTTATCTCCAATTAACCACCAGAAAACTGGAAGTGGTATTGTGGCTCAAGTGGTAGAGCACTTACCTTGAACTAAAGAGCTCAGGGACAGTGCCCAGGCCCAGAGTTCAAAACCTATGACCAACAACAACAACAAAAAAAGACCATGAGCTACTTCCTGTCTCTGCCCTCACCTCTACCTCCACCTAGCACATTGCATTTCCTCTCCCTTTCTCTCTCTCTCTCTCTCTCTCTCTCTCTCTCACACACACACACACACACACACACACATACACACACACACACACACACAGTTTCTCCATACCTTAGTACAATGCTTGGTACTTGACTCGTATCAAAGTGGACACTGATCAGTATTTGTTGAATGTGTAAGTTAACCGAAATACTAAGCGTGAGAGGAGTTTTGTAAGTAGCAGAGTATTTATTGCTTCCAGAAAAATCTTTGTGTCCTGTGCTTTGCCAATAGCCTGTATTGGATGAGCACCTTCTGCCTCCTGAAACAAGCCTTCCTTGTCGAGGAGCACACGGGGCCCCTATCTGAGGGAGTATCTCTGGGTTGACCAGATGTATGATAGCTGTGGCGTCATCACTGACAAGATGTGCTGTTTCCCAAGTGCCAGAAGTGACCTTGCCTTGCAAAGGCTTGGCCTCTTCACCTGGCGCCTGCCAATCCACACGCACACACAGCCTTGTTCCAGCTCCATGACGGGCAGGCTTCTGTAGTCAGTGCATTAGCCAAGGGATTGCCATGGGCAGGGGCATAGGCAGCAGGCTAGGACTCCTGAGTGGGACCTCTGCAGTTTCTCAGGACAGTAGAGATGATCACGTGACCCTTTGCCGAGGTGCCCAGCTTCTGAAATGGGATGCCATGATGCTGCCAGGGACTTGGCTGGGTAAGAGTAAGAAAGTTTTTTTAAGGCATTATTGAAAGTGACAGGAGTTCAAAAGTACATCAGGAAAGAGACAGTTTCTGTGCGGAACAGCTTTCCACAGCAGGTACTGCCAACGGGGATAGTGCAGGAACTGACAAATGAGCCTCAAGCCAAGGATAAGGAGCCATGTTCCAGATCTGTCACTTACACAGTTTGAACCTGTCACTTAATTGTTCTGAGTTTCTAGTTCCTCCTCTGCGCATTGAAGCTGTACCTTAATTGTCAAATTTACAGTGCTGCCTCAAGTAGGAAAAAGCATACGTACTTATTGTTTTATGGGACTGGGGATCAAACCCCGGATTCACATTTGATAGATAAGAACTCTATCACCAAACCACACCCCAGCCTACCATACTGTTACATTATACTTGAGCATTCCCATTATGAACAGAACACTAAACCAGTGCAGTCACAGTGGCATTGTTTTTTCAGTTTTCAGAAATCAGACACTCAGGCCTAGAGTTATGCAGCTAATATGAGGTAACCTTTATATAATAAACCAGGTCTAGTGCCATTCTCCACTATTACTCTAATTCCAGTTCTTTTCTGCTACGTACCATGGTTTTGTCTCTTAAAATATTCCACAGTAGCTGGATGTGGTGGCGCACACCTACAATCCCATACCCTGGGAGGTGAACATAGGAGGATAGTTTCAGGCCAGCCTGGCTATCCAGTGAGACCGGTCTCAAAAATCAAAACAGAGTGGGACTCCCCTGGCCTTTGACCTGACCTTTCTCACCCAAACTCTTCTTCCCACAACTTTTTCCTGATGTTTTTGCTTTTGTCCTGCTGATCCTCTTAATGTTTCTTGTTCCTCCTCTCCTGCTAGCTTCCCCGGGCCTGACCTCCAGGCCCAGCTTGCAGCAAGACTGAGCGAGCTCCTTTTAGAGGCAGGTACTCTGCGTGGGGGATGTGAGAGTGTTCACTCACTCCCCAGGCGCCCAGACTCTCACCCTCCTAGGATTGTATGGAAACGGCCTGGATTGCGGGTACAGAGAGGAGGGAAGAAAGAGATAGACGGACTTGTCTAACATCACTTAGTGAATAGGCACTAAACCAAAAGCTTAGTTCCTGTCCTGGATCTGGATGTCTTTGGGGGAGCTGAGCTCCTGGGAGTCATTGCTAATGTGGACTGTGTTGTCTCTGGCTTAGTGCAAGCCCTGGAGGGTCCCTGACTGACACTCAGCACCCCACCCTGACTTCCTAGCACCTAGCGCCCCAGACCTATATCGTGACCCTACCTGATAGGAGAGAAGAGGAGAGGAGGCAGGACAGATTCCCCTTTTAGAGGCCCCCTAGACAAGCTGGTCCCAAAGGTGGCCCACTCCCAAGGTGGCCTCTTCTTGGGGCAGGGGGAGGGAGGCACATTGGTACACGCTGGCCTTGCAGTGCCAGGAATTGACTCTACAATTAGGTAAAAAATAAATCAAAGCCAAAGTTGCCTGATGAAATTCAGGAGCCAACAGTGACCCTTGCCACACATATAAATCCCAGCAGGCTGGCCACGGGCCTTTGTCTGGTCAGGAGAGTTCAGGATTATCTGGCCCACTTTGCTGATGGATGGAGGCACCAGCTCTCGGAGTGTTTACCAGCGGTTATCACCTCCGTGCTTGGGCCATTATCAGAGGCAAGGCCGCCTGCCGGGGGCTGGGGCTCGCACCCTCTCTATTACCACCTGTCATTGGCAGAGAGTGTGTGGTGACACTGCCCAGTCCTGCCCGCTGGGAGAAGATAGTTTCTGACGGCTGATCAAAGAGGAGAAGCAGGGCCTGATAAAGAGTGTGTGTTGCATGTACTTTTAACTTTGGGAAACATTGGCATTTGCATTTTTTCCTCATCTTCCTGGTGCTGGCAGGAACCAAGCCCAATAAATGTAGTGGATTCAGTTACCTAATCGCTGGGGACATGGTATGTGCTTAAAGCAACAGGGCATGACTATAATCTCCTTCCAAGAGAGAGGGGATAAAATAAGCTTTCACAGTAGACTTGCCATAGAATAAAGCCGAATCATTTAAATGTGGACTTTGAAGTGATCTTGCATGTAAAATCTAATCTTGGCACTTAGCAGGACATGGTGTACTTTTTTGAATCGGGGAGCAGCTTTAGATTAAGGAAGAATCCTTACTGGAGATGCTATCACTCAGATGTATCGCTAGAGTTCCTGAAATTGTACCCCAGTCATGGTCATGTCTCTAGGAAGTTGGGGGGACCAGGAACTATGGGACAGAATGAGTTCCCCCAGCTGAGTTCCTATACTACATCTGCTATTTATTCCCAAACCATAATGTGTCCCAACCTCAACTGTAAAAGAGATGATGTAAAAATTAAAAGACACAATGGTTTAGAAAAGCTTTGTGGTTTTGATTTTTAATTTAGACTATGTATCCCCTTCTTTAAATTAAGCTTTAGGTGGAGCCCCATTGTAATAAATAGGGAAGAGCAGAGATATTAGGGTTGAACTTATTCCCTTGTCTTGTCCGATTCTTTTTTTGTCAGTTGTGGGGCTTGAGCTTGGGGCTTGGACTCTGTCCTTGAGCTTTTTCAATCAAGGCTAGCACTGTACTGCTTTGAGCCACAGCTCTACTTCTGTTTTTCTGGTGATTAATTAGAAATGAGACTCACAGATGTTCCTGTCCTGGCTGGCTTTGAACCATGATCCTCTGTTCTCAGCCTCCTGAGTTAGCTAGAAGTTCAGATGTAAGCCACCAGTACCCAGAGGGCTCTGTTCCATTCTTGAAATGGTCCCTGGAGACTAGAGAAGCTCTGTCACTCCTGAGACTCTGGGTTTTTGTTGTGTTGTTTTGTTTGTCTTAGGCCAGTACCAGCGCTCGCGCTCATGGCCTGCCACTCTTCCTTGCCTTTTTCACTCACTGTTGGAATTCTGCCACTTGATCCATGTCTTCAGCCTGGCTCTTTTGCTGGTTAATTAGAAATAGAGCACCGGGTAACCAGGCTCACGCTTCTAATCCTACCTACTCAGGAGGCTGAGATGTGTGGATCACAGTTGGAAGCCAGCCCAAGCAGGAAAGTCTGTGAGACTCTTATCTCCAGTAAACTACTCAAAAAGCCATCAGTGGACCAGTGGCTTAAGTGGTAGAGCACAGCCTTAAGCAAAAAAAAAAAAGCTCAGGGACAGTGCTCAGTCCCGGAGCTCAAGCCCTAGAACTGGCACAAAAAGAGAGAGAAAAAGAAAGAAAAGAAAAGAAAGTCTTTTGAAATGTTTTGCCTGTGCAAACTTTGAACCATCATCCTTACATCTCAGCCTCCTGAGTAGATAGGACATAAGCCACCAGCACCAGGCACTCCTGAGACTCAGGTTTGAAACTTTGTCTCTGTGACATGGAGATCATTCTCAGAGGTCTTCACACATATATTGGCCTGTGCTGTTTTATTCTGTGCTGTGGGTCCCGGCTCCACAGTATCCACTCTTCTTCCATCCGGTGTAAGGTCTATAGAGGCCCCAAACAATGGGTTTGAGGGTGGGTAGGTGGGCAGAAAGGCCTGCCTCTGAAAGTCACCTGTCCCTGTGTGCCACAGGTACCTTTGACCGGAGCGTGACGCTGCTGGAGGTGTGCGGGAGCTGGCCGGAGGGCTTCGGGCTGCGGCACATGTCCTCCCTGGAGCACACGGAGGAGGGCCTCCGGGAGCGGCTTGCAGACGCCATGGCAGAGTCCCCCAGCCGGGATGTCGTAGGATCTGGAACAGGTAAAGGTGTCATCAGACTTCTTGCCTGACTTGGTTGTGATTGGCACCCATGGATGGTAAGCTGCTTTGGCAAGGGAGAAGGCGTGTATTCATATTTGCCATCTGGTTCTGCAGTCAGTGCTCTAGGGACTGTCATTTGTAGAAGCCTCTGGTGTTAGGAAATCCTGTGTCAAGGGAGTTTCCGGTGTACCCTCCCCCTCCTTCATGGAACTACAATGAGAAACACAGTGGTGCTGTAGAAGTTGCTCCAGATGGACACCTCCAAGGGAAGGGGAGGCTACAAATCTCCCAGCAGCACTTGGGCACTGAGGCCTAAGGCAGCGCGTTCACAGTCATGCTCAAGGCTTTGTAGACTGGCAGGTGGCAGAGACCTGCCAGTCTGAGAAGGAGCGAGCAAGAAGCAAGCAGGGCTGGCTCCAGCCCCCAGGCAGTTCCTTCCTTATGCTTCCTCTCACTCTGTGTTCTTGCTACTAAGAGAATCTAGCAGCTGGATCCCCGTAGCTTCTTGTACCTTTAGGGTAGATGAGGAGAGATCTGGACCTTAAGCTAGCATGCACAGGTACATGCACACACACACACACACAGAGACACATACACACATACAGAGTTCTTCCATCCAAGCAATATAATATAGGCTGCCTCTGCCTCTCTCTAATTCCACTGTTCGTGCTCTGGCCCTGCCTTTGTACCTGCCTGACAGCCTTTTCCTGGCTTGCTGAGACTACTGGGGATTTTTGATTGAATGGAGCAGATCCCTGCTAGATGCCTTCTCTCTCTTGCTTGCCTGAATCTATACTAGGCTGTGACTTTTTTGCTTAATCATTCCACCCAGCTCCACATGCTACCTGGGAAGACGATCCCAGGAAGGAGAAATGAGAGCCCTTGGCATGGGGGTCTAATCAGCAAGATGAAGTCAGAGCAGTTTTGGCTCAGCCTGGCGTGCCTGAGTTATCACTCCATCTCACTGTCCCACAGGTCCTCTAGGTCTTTAGATATTGGGGTCCACAATTGGGCTTTCCCTCTCTTCTTCTCCTTCCCCAGGCCAGTCCCTCCCTAGGAGGAAGAGATGTCTCACGTCTACAGTACCAACATAGTGGCCAGCCCCTGATGCCCATGTACTCATCAGCAAGTGAACAGACTGGGGGAGGTGGTTGCAAAGGGAGAGGAGCTTGGCTAAAGAGAGAGAAGCTCCTGCTGGGCCCACGGGGAGACCTATCTCTAAGAACCCGCATCTACCTTCATCTTCTCTGGAAAGAATAAAGGTGTGGGCCTCAGCAAGCTGCAGCGAGCCACGTCACATTCCCCACACACCAGGGGTCATAAAAGCAACAGACACATCATCATTGTCACACCCATTGTCAGCCCCATCATCACACCTCAGACTTGGGGATACTCGATCATCAGGCCACTGCTTTCTCACTTGCATATAGAGATGAGCACCTCTGCCCCTTCCTGGGCTGGAGTACAGCACAGGGGCTTTCCTTATTCTGAACTTGCCTGTGGGCCAGCCTTCTCTTTTGTCCAGCCATAGCCTGGAGTCTCTGGGCTCGCCCCCACCCCCACCCCCAGGAACCTCCTCCTCCTCCTCCTGCTTTACCTCATGTGTAGTTGCCTTGTCAGATGCCCTGGCATCATCCAGCAGGCAGATTGCAGGTGCACGTCGTCACAGGCAGCGAGCTTCAGTGTGGCAGAGACAGGAACCTGAGCAAAGCTGGCAGCAAGTCATCTGCCAGACATCTGAGGGACTCGAGAGGCTTTGAGACCTTCAAGCAGGTTTGTGAAATTAAAAAAAGAGAACAAAAAAAAAAGAATGAAAGAGGAAATTAAAACGGCATGACCCACAGGTCAGAAAATGGGAGACTCCCTTTTTCAGCAGAGGGTTTTCATTTTCTTCCTCAAACTGTCACCAAAAGAGATCCGGTTGTCTTTATTTGACCATATTAGAGGTGTACTTTATTTAGATGTCTACTTCTATTTGAAAAATGAGTAAATAAAGCAGGTGGAAGTTAATCAGTTTTCTTCTCCATTGTGTGATTCTTCTTCTTTTTAATGCCAGTACTAGGGCTTGAACTCAGGGCCCTCATGCTGTCCCCTAACTTTTTCACTCGGGGCTAATACTCTACCACCTGAGCCACAGCTTCACTTCCAGCTGGTGGTTAATTGGTGATAAGAATCTCATGGACTTTTCTGCCTCAGCTGGCTTTGAACCAAGATCCTCAAGCCCCATCCCGCTGTACAGCTAGGATTGTAGATGTGAATCACCAGAGCCGGGCTTGTGATTCATTTGTCATATTTTTCAACTAGAGATAAAGTATTAGCCCAGTAGCACAGCACAGCACAATAGTGCCAAGGACATCCCTGTTCAAAGATAGCTGAGTATTATAGGGAAAACTTCCAGTAAGCCAGTCTGCCAATAGCACTTCTGCCCGTCTCTTCCCACAGCCCTACTTCTCTTGGGGGCTCATAAGACAAACAGATGGGGTGGCACCAAATAATTGTTTCAGGTGGATACTCTGATGTTCCTGAGATAAGTCAGTTCCCTAATGTCTTCCTGGCAGATGTGTCATGTGACAGAGCAGCCAGGGCTGGGGTTTCCCTATCAAAATATGGCTGAAGCTCAGAGGCCCAGTCAGACCTTGCTCCCAGGATACCCTGTACAGGCTGGCTCACTACGAAGGAGTTGTAGATAATGCTGCAACCAGCTCTCCAGAGAGAAGCAAGAAAGCCCTGACTTGTGGATTTCAGTAGTGTAAAAACTCCTGTCATTGCCAATTTCAAGCTATCAACACAACAGACAGTTCCCCAAATTCCTAAAAACTGATAGTTGGCTGCCTCCAGCCCCTCACTGAACAAATAAGCTCTCCCCAGCAAAACCCATTTATATGAAGCAAGGATGATGAGGAGCTGCTGGTCAAAAGATAGACAACTTTGATTAGAAGAGTACGTTTCGGATCTTTTGTACAAATTGGTGACTGTAATTAGTAACAATGTACTTGAAAATGGCTGAGCAAACACATTTAAGTGTTCTCCCTACCAAAAAAAATAATAATAATAAGGTATGTAAAATATTGTGTACATTAACTCAATTTAGCCACTCCGCAATAAATGTTTCAGAACATGTTATACACAATAAATATAGAGAATTATTTGCTAACTGAAAATCTTTTTTTTTTTTAAATAGTTTGCAGGCCAGTAAAACCATCCAGGAACTGATTAGAAATGTAAAGTTACAGACAGGAACTGGTGGCTCATGCCTGTAATCCTAGCTACTCTGGAGGCTAGGCAAGAAAGTCTCTGAGACTCTTATCTCCAGTAAACCACCAGAAAACTAGAAGTGAAACTGTGGGTTAAAGAGATAGAGTGCTAGTCTAGAGCAAAAGAGCTCAGGGACAGTGTCCAGGCTCCAAGTTCAAACCCAACAACAGGACGGAAAGAGGGAAGGAAGAAGGAAGGAAGGAAGGAAGGAAAGGAAAGGAAAGAAGAAATGTAGAGTTGGTTGGAATTGTTGTTCAATGAATCTTATGTTCCATCTCCAGCCTAAAACAAAGGGGAAAAAGTACGGTCTTGGACCCCACCATCATCTTTCCACATCTGCATTTGATTTCTCTTTCTTCCAGTGCAGAGGATGGAACCCTTGCTAGGCAAACATGCTACCTCAGAGTTCTACCCCCAGCATCTACATTTTAATAAGACACCCCATGCATATTAAAGTTTAAGAAGATCTATTTTAAAACATGATTCACCTGTCACCAAGGTATTTATTAGTTCAGTCTTCTGTCGTGAGCACTAACCAATTGGTCTAATTAGTTTAAATCTGTGATTTGCAAGTCCAGCTCTAACATAACTGGCTGAATTGCTTTTTTTGCTAATGGTCCTGCCACGCCTCACCCCTCACTCTGCTTAGAGCTGGGTTGCTGAAGAAAATTCACCAACTGTTCTGATTGCCACATCTACAAATATGTGGTGGCCTTCAGCCGTGCTGGTTATTTCCTGGCAACCTCTCTTGCTCTTAGTTTGCAGCCATCTTTGCAGCAGTAGCCAGTGCCTGGAACAGAGTCCAGCAGGCAGGAGATGCACAGCAGCTGTTTATTGACTGATGTCATCTGATCTCTTACTGGGTACCAACTGGTTAGTGATATCCTTTGCTCTCTACTTGGGTGCCAACTATTCACTGACCAAGGTCTGTATGCCACCTGGGTGCCAGAGTTTTGCATAGCCCCACCTGTTGGGGCTGCTGAGGCTTCTGACCTATGTTCAAACTCTTGAGAACCCCCAGATCCCCAGATCTCTGGTCCACCAACAGTCTGCATTTTATTATTGATTGATTGATTGCCAGTCCTGGGGCTTGAACTCTGGACCTGGGCTCTGTCCCTGAGCTTTTTTTTGCTCAAGACTAGACTCTACCACTTGAGCCATAGTACCACTTCCAGCTATTCTGAGTAGTTACTGGAGGTAAGAGTATGATGGACTTTCCTGCCTGGACTGACTGAACCATGATCCTCAGATCTCAGCCTCCTGAATAGCTAGGACTATAGACATGAGCTACTGGAGCCAGGCAATGTATTTTATTCTTGATGTTTTTCTTTTTAATTTCCCTATTTGCTATTTAATATGATGTAAGTGCCCTGTCCCTCACCTTGAAGTTAGTCTCTTTCCTTCTGCAGAAATGCTGCTTCAATCTTCCCATTCTCTGCAAATCTCTTACCAAACTGTCTTGTCTCTCATTCCTCAAAGAGAAAGAAAGGGTGTGTGGCCTTTGAGAAGCATCTCCACTTGCCCGCCATCCAGATCCTCAGTGTCCCTCCCTGTGCCAACTGTCAGAAAAGGAGCAGCCCCTGCCCTGGCCCACCCCATCACAACTGACTTCCCAGTTATCTCCTGGACATTTGGGTCCCTCCACATGGGCCCCATACTTCCTGAAGCTCTCTCCCTAGGGCCTACTTCCCATTCTCCTGTGTTTTCCTCTGCCTCTGGCTCTCTCATTCTCTTCTCAGGGTTTT